AAACGCTATAACAACGAACGTCTTATGTGCTCAACTTCAACAATACTACTCAATTACATACTCTCTGACTGCAGTTCAATTACTCAATCTCCCCGTCGCTTCGTGGCCGGTCTTATATACAAGACTAACACATATCTAGTAAATGCTAGGGCATTCATGAAGGAACAGGATATTTCTAGAAACAGGTGGCGTGATACTAGTCACGTGACCTCGCTGACGCAACAATATATATATTTTCATTTTACATCTACTTTTAAATGGCAATGTTAGTCTCTGAAGAATGTACGAGCATTAACTTCAGGTAACACTGAATAGATTATTTTCTCAAAGAAAATACATCAGAAGCGGATTCAAGAGTGGCATAGAAGACAAATACACCCTAAATTTTGTGTTAAAGATAAAAAATATATTTATAACCGAATTTACAATGAAAAAAAAACATTTTAAGAACAAACTTTCTTCCTTAGTATCTGTTTTGTTCTGTCACACTTTGTTCTATTCTGTTACGTTCTGTTCTGTATTGTAATCTGATGACTGTGGGCACAGACTGTGTCTCCCCTTTAGAAATACCCTGGATCCATCTCGTATGTATATGAGTGTGTATTGTCTAAATTAATTCGGAATCTTGTGATTAATAACAATGCGTTTCGGCAATTAAATAAAAATTCATTCATAAACAAAGTATTTTAGAAATATATAACCTATCTCTAATAACTAATATATTTATTTTTTTATATCTATAATTTCCAAAACACTATCTTGTATGAATTAAAATAAAGGGAGAATTTGTAACAACAAAATTAAAGTTTTGTTTACGGATAAAACAAGTGATAAGTTTTTAAAACCTTTTTAGTTTAAAAAAAAAAAGACTACGTTTTGCTAGGTTTACCTAGCATCGTCCTTTAGTGTTTATATGGTTTCCTAGCAACGTAACATTACACAGTTTGTCTTTAGGCTTTACTAGCCAAGTAATGAAATATCAATAGACTCGAAAGAAAATATTAAATGTTAATTAATTTGGAATTTTATGCTCTGAAGTTAGTTACGAAAGATATAAGTGTTGGCGTGACGTTACGTCGTTTTATGCAAGTTTGGCTTAACGTTATGGTTAGGCCCTCTTTATCGTGTTTAAGCGGCACACTAGCAGTAACTGCTGGGTCCTTTAAGTTTAACGTTAGTAAACATTAACCCTTAACGTGAACTTCAGTTGTTTCTTTTATATTAAATTTTTACCTCAAATTACCAGGTCCTGTATTTCTATACTAAAATGAATTCTATTCGTAGTGGAAAAGAACCTGCAGTTATTAATGAGTTAATGTTGAAAACAGCAATTGAAAAACAAGGTCCTCAAGCACTACAAGCAAAAAAAAATGTAGAAGAAGATGGAATTCCATTTGAACATATTCTGTCATTGCAGCTAGACTTCAAAAGTGAGCTCTGATGTACACGTTTTGTTATGTAGCTGTCAAACATTTTCTGAAACAAAATTTTGTAATTTCACTTCTTAGCTCACTGGCGAATTTTTCTTCCAAATATCAGTTAAAAACACCTTGATGTTAATTTCAAAATCATGTGATATTGTTAAGTTTGAGAGCATTTTAAATTTAAACTTTACCACCATCCTGATATAATTATCCCCAGTTTTGAAGATTTATTACACATATCTGTTCAAAAATCATGTGTAAAAATAATAATTTCAATGAAAACAAATGGTTTGTGTATGGATATTGCACACAAAAAGGTTTATAGCCATTACATAAGATAAATATTTTTCACATATTTTCATGCATCCATATATATTGATAACAAAATGCGTAAATGCATTTGTGTAGTGTTCTAATTGTAGATAATATGTTCTATATATAATCAACAGATGTCTAGATGATTACATATGCAATACCTGACTGTCATAACTTTGAATTTCATTTTGTAAGTGATGTCATGTGCATCAATCGACTGATTCACAGAGCTGAGTGATCTTGATAGCTTCCAAAGTTATTTTTACTTTTGGGCTATGTATGATTTGCCCACTGCAGCTGATTTTTAATGTCATAAGCCTGGAGACTTACTGCTGAGCCACTGGAAGCACTTGTTTTTTGCTACTCACTACGATAAAAGTCAACAACCAATCATGTAGATAAAAAGATGGTGTGAGGATATTAAATCCATTGTTAGTTATTTAAAAAAAAACTTATACTAATTCACAGCCTTTTTCTGAATCTATGAAACATTTGAAAAGTGCAACAGCTGTAGCCAAGTCTGGGTCACTTTCTGATGGTGATGTTGTTTCTTCAAGATCACCCAGTAAAAGCAGCAGGCCTAAAAGCTCTAGTATAAATGGTGGAGTGAATTAAAATAACTTATCAAATTGTTATAGACTGATAAAAACTAGTACTTCAACATAATCTTATTTATAATCTGTAAATAATAAACTATTTAGTGTTGTGTACCAAGTAATTAACACTAGTGTTCGTCTCAACAAACAACATTAGATAAAGTTTTACATACTGTGAGTAACACCACATGGTCAATTAATTAAGACTAATTTGGCTGCAGCTAGACTATAATGTACCTCCAGAAATTAGTCATAGAGGTACAGTGCACCCCCCCCCCCTCCCCAATAATTTTACGGTATAGCATTGTCACTTTGAGATTATGGTAGTTATGAGATCTTTTATGTAATCTTTGGCCCACATAACTTCATATCTATTTTGTAAATTAACATAGCTGAAATTCAGCTTGCTTCATTCATGTTAATCTTGTTAACTAGTAAATACGCCTGAGTAGCACGCAGTATTTCTTTCGTTCTTTCCCTGACATTACAGGGATGGCAGAAAGGAATGTTTCTGTTGCCATTGGCCAAAGTACACGTGTCACGTGCTACAGTGAATATTACTTTCGTTTGATGTTGGCTTTGTGTAAACTCGGTATATGGGAATCCACCTGAGCATCAAGAGCCTGGTGTTGCACAGCCTGCTCCTGACTTCATACACTCCGGACAGTTAACTGCCTGAACTTATCTAGGTCCTCTCTTGCTGGGTCTCTCCTTGAATAGTGGGAACATGATCTGCTTGACTTTGTTTGTGGGGTTGTGTGTGCCAGGCCAAAGTACAGATGGATGCCAGGAGGAGTTGCCTACGATGTTCTGGGTGAAAAGCACGTACAGGGACTCTAACACTCAAGGTGTGGTCTGGTCAAGAGCTATAACTTCTCATCGTGGCTGGCTGTACAGCCTGCATGACCCCAGATATCGCGAGCTACTGTCAACCTTTCTGTCGTTAAAGGTATCTCACTCCATGGAACAAGGTCTTCATCTGTGATATTCTTGTCTCATCTGCTGGAGAGATAACTTTGATTGGCAAAAATCATATACAAGTGGCATGTCTAGCCTCTGTCCACTATCTACCTGTAGTTTCAATTAGAACTGGAACTGCTGTGCTCTGAGTGATGATGACCTTGGAGTATGGTAGAGATTTACCCTTGCAATTTTGAACTTTCAGGCACCAAGCTTTTCAGGTGAAACTTGGTTATTCGTGTTTACCTTCTGCTGAGATAGATCCTCAGATACTGTGGTATGGTGCACCAGACACAAACAAGTATCCCTGAGTCAGTAGATGCAGCTTAACTGATATCATGGACCTTCAAAAAATTGACAAAAGTCCGATGTCCAGGAGAGAACTTCTTCTAGGCTCAGAACCTCTCCAGTACAACTGTCTGTCTCGTAAACTTGAGGTAACAGGTAAGGGTTAGTCCACATGTTATCATTTCAGAAACTCTGTGATAGACCCTGCTGGCATGGTAGTCAAATGTTTACTTCCTATTTACTTGTGGTATTTTAAAACAAAACTGATTTCTCAACAAATATCATAGAGGCAGACCTTCAAATAACAGCATATGGGGAGTGATAACTGAGTTCATTTAAATGTATAATAGTGAGTGTGGATAAATTAACAACACCTTTATCACAACAAATGTACAGAAAACACAGATGAAATGCATATCCTTTCTACTAGGCTGTGTTACAGCTGTGTCTCCCTCAGGATTAATCTCCATAGAGCATATTATTCTTGACAGACTTGATGATTTCCTTGTAGAAAACTAGCTAAAAAAAAGCACCTAAATTCATCGGGTAAGCTTCCTTTTTTTGTCCGGTCAACAGTGTCATCTCATAACCTTTGTTCCCTCAGAGCATTAGTCAGCTGTTACGTTCAGTCAACGTCATAATCGGCTAGTGGTGGATGTTACTGTGCCTTTAATTTGAACTCATATGCTATATATTACAGCAATATCTCCTTGGGCAGTAGAGACATCACCAATTATAAAGAAAAAAAAGAAATCAACTAACTAGAACAATGTAATCTTAGTTACTTTTTTTGGCCCATGTGTTGCTGCCATTACAGCATAGAAACTAAACAACCAGAAAAATTTTAAATCTCTGTATCACTAAAACAGGTACAAAACATAGATATGCCTGCATGCCACATTACTGTAGAAAAGTAGACCTTTTGTTTTATTGTATTTTATGAAAATTCTCCAGCATTTTGCTGAATATTCTTTTTTAATCTTTTGAGAAAACATTTATTAAGTACACTATTTTTTTATTATTTAGAATTTATGATAACAAAGAAGGATTGTGCAGGCAAACATAAAAATGACATAGCTGTCAGATAACACTAAAAAATCCAAAGTTTAAACTTCACAGGTACTGCAAATAAAAAAAGGATTGGATCATATTATTTGTGTCAAAGTATTTATTCTTCCAGTGATAAACTGTTAGTAGCAACCATATTTTTTGCTTACATTCACTGTACTATTCATCCTAAGCCTACCACATTGTATTTTTCCTATCCTATGTTTGTACTATAAAATCTGATGAGGAGTAGAACTAAGAGTCAGTGCATTATCCCCTCAGCTAAGATGTTATTTAATGTATTTAACACTACAGATTTAATTGAGTGTTATCTGGTAGCCCACAGGATTTAGGTATATAAAACTCAGTTTCTTAGAATTTAATCCAATGGTTCAATAACCTTTTGATTAGTTGTGCTAACACTGTTTCTTTTGATTAGTTGTGCTAACACCGTTTCTTTACTCCAATGGTTCAATAACCTTTTGATTGGTTATGCTAACACCGTTTCTTTACTCCAATGGTTCAATAACCTTTTGATTGGTTGTGCTGACACCATTTCTTTACTCCAATGGTTCAATAACCTTTTGATTAGTTGTGCTAACACTGTTTCTTTTGATTAGTTGTGCTAACACAACGTTTCTTTACTCTAACAGTGCAATAACCCTTTGATTGGTTGTGCTAACACCGTTTATTTACTCTAATGGTTCAATAACCTTTTGATTAGTTGTGCTAACATAACGTTTCTTTACTCTAATGGTTCAATAACCCTTTGATTGGTTGTGCTGACACAACATTTCTTTACTCCAACAGTTCAATAACCCTTTGATTGGTTGTGCTGACACCGTTTCTTTACTCTAATGGTTCAATAACCCTTTGATTGGTTGTGCTGACACCGTTTCTTTACTCTAATGGTTCAATAACCTTTTGATTGGTTGTGCTAACAACATTTCTTTACTCCAACAGTTCAATAACCCTTTGATTGGTTGTGCTGACACCATTTCTTTACTCTAATGGTTCAATAACCCTTTGATTGGTTGTGCTGACACTGCTTATTTACTCAAATGGTTCAATAACCCTTTGATTGGTTGTACTAACACCATTTCTGATTTACTCAGAACTTAAGCACATTTTTAATGTAGCTATGTACAAAATGAATAATTCTAATCATTTAGTTTCAAGTTATAGGTGATTTTTATAAATCTATTGTTAAGAGTGTTCTAATGCAGACATTCAGTTTGATATCTTATTTTAATAACTAAAATGTTTATTACTTTCTTAGATATTCTTCAAATTGAAAACATGTGGCAGTTCAAGGCACTCAAAAAACTACAGTTAGATAACAACATCATTGAAAAAATACAAGGACTGGAAGAATTAAAGAATTTGACCTGGTTAGGTGACTAATATGGAAGTCAGATATATAAGTATTTGGTTTGTGTTAAAGTAACACTCTTAGTTTCCCATGTTACCTTTTTACTAAGTTAGCTAGTGAATACGTTATGAGGTTTCACAATCATTCAGGACATATTATTTATTTGGTCTGTTTCTGCAAGTTTTCATCACTTTTCAGTATAGTTTTAATGATTGAACTAATTATTATTGTATGACTTAAATGAAAATAAGTCTAAAAAATAGAAGATACAAAGTGACTTAGAGGATAAGATCTATTATTAGATTGTTTACAATTGAAGACACACTATAAAAGTTAGTTTTACTCAAGCCCTCTCACACGTATATCAGGTTCTAGAATTTATTGGAACATTCAACAAACACCTTATTCAGTTGTGCTAAATATTTTTCCTGATTCAGACAATTTTAAACCAGAGTTAAAATTGGCTGTACTTCATTCCTTGAACTATCAGTTAAGAAGTTGAACTGTGAACTCAAGTGTTCGTGGTTTGTGAGCCTTTGCCACAAACTTTGGGTCTGTTGGTGCATTATAAGAGATGGTCAAGTTCCATTTAGAGTAGCCCAAGAATTAGTGGTAGGTGCTGCTAACTAACTGCCTTTCCTCTGGTCTGTTAATTCAAAATTGTGTAAATATACAAAACAAACAAACTTCATTTATTTTTCTAACTTTGCTAAACTGTAAAGACTCTGCCAAGTAAGTTGAAAATTCGTTCTGCTTTATGAGAAAATCAGAAGTTCAAATGTGATGTTTTACTGCAGTGTTTTTCACTATTAAAATAGACCAAATTATATACCAAAGAAAAATAATGACGAAACAAAGTAAGTGCACGTGATCAGAACATTAGTCATGGGAAAAAATTTATTCAATAATGTTGTTTATAAATGGAGTAAAGTAATTAATTCATGTTAAATTAGGAGGTTACATTAGTAATTGTTTTAAAAACAGCTAATTGTGTTTTTTTCAAATGAAAAACTAGGATGTTAACAAAACACATTAAATTTTGGCTTTTTTAAAAGTAGTGAACTTAAGCTAAAAATCATGATTACAATTTTATTTTTATTGTAAGTTTTTAAAATCATATTATACTTTCCTTTTCTTTATTTTGTAGATTTGTCCTTCAATAACATTGAACATATTGAGGGCCTGAGCCATCTAAGTAAACTAGAGGACCTTTCTTTGTACAGCAACCGAATCACCAAATTAGAAAATCTAGACCAGCTAAGTAAACTCCAAGTTTTGTCCATTGGAAATAACTTGATTGAAGACTTTGAAAATGTAATTGTTTCTGTAGATGCCTTTTTTTTCTCTTTCTAACCAATAACAATTGAGATAAATATACCATTAACCAAGCATTTTTGACCCGGAAATGTTAAAAGTTTTTTGAGGATTTGTGATCTTTATTATAGCTCCAATTTAAAACAACTGCATTGTTAAGATATCATAATGATCATTAATAATACGTGTAAGTGTGAAAAATATGTATATTGAAACATAACAAATGTCTTAATGTAAGGAATCAAAAACATAGATTTGTTTATGTTACTACTCTTAATATCATGACATAAAAGTTTTGTCTGTAACTTGTATGGCCCAAGGAGTGGTAGGTATGGCTTACGTTTGTGGATTCTGTGGTAACTCTTGATACACAGATGTCCACCATTCCACTATGTTAGTAATTCACTGGATCTTGTAATTTCCCGTCCTGTTGGTTTAGTAGTCAAGAGAATATTTGAGGTTTTTGTTTTTTTATTGATGTCGGAAGATCCATGATGACAATGTGCAAGTGAAATTACACATGTTCTAACTCTTCATGTTGTGTTTGTAATATGTATAGTTTGGTTGTACCTGCTACAGATACAGATGTATCTTGCTGATCAGAGAGATTGGCTGGTCTGATTGATACAAAAATAGATGTATCTCGCTGATCAGAGAGATTGGCCAGTCTGATTGATACAAAAATAGATGTATCTCACTGAACAGAGAGATTGGCTAGTCTGATTGATACAAATATAGATGTATCTCACTGATCAGGGAGATTGGCCAGTCTGATTGATATAAATACAGACGTATCTCACTGATCAGGGAGATTGGCTGGTCTGATTGATAAAAATACAGACATATCTCACTGATCAGGGAGATTGGCCAGTCTGATTGCCATTTGTGTTTTAAACAGCCTAAATGTAAATAGGTAAAGAGAGAGCCTTGGTGACATTAAAGATATTAGTTCTAGACATCTATTCATTAGCAATGGGTAATTATGTTAGATAATTTAGTGGTTAATGGTGTACTGGAACAGCACCCCACATGGATAAAGTTACATGACTGTTTCAGTTGGGATACATGTTGTTATCACATGATTTTTAATAATTATAATTTCCATCTGAGGATGTATCACCAAAAGTTGTGTATCGGTATATTTAGTACTTTGGTAAATAAGGAAAGAAAACCACGAAAATCAACCCTAAAACTTAGCTATGGTACATTAATCCAATGAAAGTGAGGAAACTTATGGATCACATTCCATAGCCCACTGGATCAGGCTGACTAACATCAGAGCAACTCAAGCTAACCACAAGACTGGTCATTCCCATTCAACCATAAAGGAGGTCATAACCTTGACTTACCTTTGGATAACACGGCTTTACTTTTATGCACAAGGTGCAGTTTTACAGGCATACCTCCCATGGGCATACCAGGTGTTATCTACAAATAATTAAAAAGAAAAAAATCAACTTAATGACTTTTTGACCACTTTTTATTCAAAAACTGCACATAAGTATAACAAACATAACATTTTGAAGAGTTCTGTATTAAAACAAGGAGTTAGAAAATGGCATATCTGCATATAACAATATGAAACATAAGTAAATAATTTGGGCACTATTTTTATATGTACTTGTTTTTATATCATACTCTGTATAACTTAGCTCCTTAAGTATAATTACAATAATATTTTCTGCCAGAGTTATTTTAGTTGACATAATATTTTTCAGGTGGTATATGTACGGATCCTTAAAAACCTACAGTGTCTAAATTTGGCAGGTAATCCTGTCACTAGAACAGAAAATTTCAAACTTCAAGTGGTGGCTTACTTGCCACAACTCACATACTTAGATTACCGAATAGTCTCCGAGGAAGAGGTAAGATTTTCTTTTAAATAAGTATCTTAAAATGGAATCTTAGCTTCAGTATGCTTTACTTTTAAGTTAACATGTAAGAAACATTAATAACAGAGATGTTTTTCCCACTTTTATATATTCATTAGTGTACTGAAACAACCTAATTAAAAAGAGATTAGTGCCACCATAGCCAGGGTTTTATATGACATCAACAGGTATTTACAAAGAGTGTTCTACTGTTAGTTAAAAAAAACAACATTTAAAATTTGACCAGTAGTTATAAAAATTAAATTTCCTTTTTGAGGTTTTATAACAGATATATAATTTAAAGATCTAAAGTATAACAAACTTGGATCACACAGTTGCGACTGATAAGCTGCATGTAATTTAACAAAATGATAATGTACGATATAGTTCTGTGTTTTTTTTTATCCTTTAGAAAGTAGCAGCTAGTGAAAAATATGGATATGTTGTAGAACAGTTGTTAGCAGCAGATCTCACGAAAGAACAGGAGAAAGAAGAAATTAGAAAAGAGGAAGAAAAAAAAATTGTACACAAAGTATGTTGTGAAAATTACAAGCATCTTGTGAGATAGGAGCTCTTTGCTTTATTTTAATTGGGTAATCCATCTAAAATGTATTACACCGGCTGTTTAAAATGCCATGTATCTTTACAAAGTTCTGTTTCCTTTCTCATCAGGAGGCCTTTGTAGAAAACTTAGAAGGATCCCAATTCTTTGATTCAATGTTTGCCGAGGACAAAGAAGGGACACTCTTTACTATGTTACCTGGAGCTGAAGAATATTTCAAAACATATCTTTTATTCTTGTTTAATTTTTATACTATGAAATTTAATTACTTAAATATTTTTGGAATTTGTATTCATTCTGAGTGAATGACGGCTACATTATGCTTTTTTGGGTAATTAAAAATTATGTTACAATAACTTAAGAAAATCAACAAAACTAGAACAGCCAAAATACTAATTTCCCATTACTTAAATTTGATATAGGGTTTGTTTCTAGCCTCCACAGTTACTAGCTAAATTTGTTTAAATGCTAGTGTACTTTGTGTTAGTTTCACTACCAAGCGTTGATCAAGATAGCCTCAAATTTTCTCTCGTTTTAGTTATTTGTAGTTCTGAGTGAGGCATCAAGTATATTGTATATTTCTCATTAGTAAGAATACTGTAACATGAAACATGCTAAAGATAACAACAGTGCTCGTTTATCATGGATAAACAGAGTTGTATATATATCACTGTTTTCTTTGTTTTAGTTATTTGTAGTTCCGAGTGAGGCATCAAGTATATTGTATATTTCTCATTAGTAAGAATACTGTAACATGAAACATGCTAAAGATAACAACAGTGCTTGTTTATCATGGATGGAGATAGTTGTATATATATCACTGTTTTCTTTGTTTTAGTTATTTGTAGTTCTGAGTGAGGCATCAAGTATATTGTATATTTCTCATTAGTAAGAATACTGTAACATGAAACATGCTAAAGATAACAACAGTGCTTGTTTATCATGGATAGAGATAGTTGTATATATATATCACTGTTTTCTTTGTTTTAGTTATTTGTAGTTCTGAGTGAGGCATCAAGTATATTGTATATTTCTCATTAGTAAGAATACTGTAACATGAAACATGCTAAAGATAACAACAGTGCTTGTTTATCATCGATAGAGATAGTTGTATATATATATCACTGTTTTCTTTGTTTTAGTTATTTGTAGTTCCGAGTGAGGCATCAAGTATATTGTATATTTCTCATTAGTAAGAATACTGTAACATGAAACATGCTAAAGATAACAACAGTGCTTGTTTAT